TTTCACCAGTATATTGAAGAGTTGTGTTTTTTAATAATTTAATTGTCTGCAAGGTTACAATTTTTTTAAATCAATTAAAATTATTAATTTTAAAAATAGAAAAATAAATATATTAAATAATATTTAAATAATATTTTAATATAAATAAAGAGAAATTCTGGCTCCTACGTCAAAACTCACGTTCAGCTCACTAAGCAAAGAAGCAGAACATCGAAAAAAATTTTTATTAGAAATATAAATGAGCAGAACAATTATATTTTTTAAAATGAATTTTAAGTCGCCGTCCGTTACCCTCTTCATCCTCGCCGCCGTTCTTTTGAGAGAAACGGAGTTCTATCTACAAAAGTCGCCGGAGAAACGTGTCGACGCCGGCGACGTACCTCTCAGCTTAACACAATCCTTCTGCCGAACAGAACCCTTCCGGCATTGAATCGCTGCCTGAGCTCAATAGCAATTTCCCCCAAGAAGTCCCACCGGAGATTGGTCATTGCAGCAGTCTCCTGTGGCTATATCTCGCTCCAACTACTTCCTTCATAAAAAAGGTGCGATTTTAGTGATATCTAGGCTGTGAATTTAACAAATTTAACATTAAAATTATTTTTTTTTCTAAACTTGATTTGAATTTTGGTTTGCATCAAAATCGGATTGGAATAAACAAGCCGAGCTATGAATCAAAATTTTGGATAAAATTTTTGGAGTCATTTTGAGCAAACCTCAATGTGGCTCGAAATCACACCTTTAACAGCCTTATCAATAGGTAAACATAAGGGTGTAACTGAGTCAAGCCGAGTCAAGCCGACTCAAACTTGTTTGCTCCCAAGGTAACTCATTTTAAAAAATATTACATAAGATATAATCAAAATATGTTAAATTTAAAGATTTTATTTTTAAAGTAATAAAAATATTTAAAAAAATATTTAAGTTAACATATTTTTATTTTATAATAAATAAGGGGGTTTACTAGGATGCTTGAATTCGTAGACTTAGGGTCTGTTTGGGGCAGCTTCAACTTCTCCAGCTTCTGTTGATAAACAGTTTATCCTGATAATCTGCTGATGAGCAGCTGATCCGGATAAGCTGTCTGATTGTTTGGTTGGCGCTTATGGAAAACAAGTGATTCCGGAAAATTGATCATTCTGCCCCTGTTTTGAATAAACAATTTAGCTATTTGGTTAGTGTGTTTTGTAAGCAACTTATTTGGAATTTTTTTTAATTAAATGAATAATCTGTGCAACAGAATCTGTTCTTTTCTCAACAAAATTAGAGATCACTGTTCAGACAAGAAAATACCAAAAAGTTGATTTATATTTATATAACTAAAACATATTCGATCACATCAAACGAATATGTTACACATGCAAAAGTCAAATGCACCAGCACATACTACTACAAAGTATAATAAGAGTCCATAAAAAAGAAAAAAACAACATGTTAAAATGATAAGTAAAAATATGATAATGTTAACTTTATAATGTAGCAACATATCATGACCTATGCCACCTGCATCTGACACTCCTGAACCCTGAACAAACCTGTCCGACTGCGATATCGTAGAAACAGAAGAACTCGAACCACATGTGGCGTTCTCCAGTTGTGGTACTATTGAACTCCTAACAGCTGTGTCCAATTGAGATATCGTAGAAATAGTTCCGTTGTCGGACCACTTGAAGAATTTGCAGTTGTCCGGTCCTTGTCCCCAACGCGGGCACC